GAACTTATAAAATTTAGCATTAAGGCAATATGGGTATAAATAAAGTTATTAAAAATTTTATACTATAAATTTTAATGATTACAAAAATGAATTAAAATCTAATTGGTAGACAAAACAAACACATTATGGTATCAACTTAAATCTTTTTTCTCATTGCTCTATGTTGTTATGTTGTTAATGTTTTAAGATGTGAAGAAGCAGTCTCATTTGCTACTGTGGAATGTAAGCAAGAGCAATATTATTTCTTTTACTTTGCAAGCACGTTAAATACATTAACACAAAAAGCTCATTGATCATCGTGACTGTCCAGCAAAATTATCTCAGCATCTATTTAATCTGCTCTTTGTTTACCTGGGTTGCATCCCGAGTCATTAAAAATTACGTTTATTACAGTGAATACTTTTTAAGTGCTTGGACCAAACAGCCTATCGGTTCTTGGAATTTCATGGTAACTAACAAATACGATTTTTTTTAACTCCTTGGCAGGAATGAGTAGAGAGATTGCTAACGCAATGTTACGATGCGAAACGACTTTTTGGCACTGATCGGAGCGCCCCGCCGCTGCCAGCCGTCGAACCGGGCGCACATGTTACTACTCATATTGAACAGCGTGTGCCTACAGGAAGAGGAGTGGATTCGCGTGAAAATGACCATATAGGTGCACAATTTAGAAAGACGTAGAAGGGCTATAACGAATGTGTGTCTACGAGGACAGGAGTGGAAATGTTGACTATAGCTATGTATCTGAGCGCACAGCCAAAGCAAGCGACGACACGAGTTATTGTCTTTTGACTGCAACTGAGTATGTCGTATATATATTAAACTGATTTTTGCTCCCACTCTTTTTTCTTTTCCCCCTACTTTTAATATTTATTCAGAATTTCAGTATTATTTAAAAAAAAAATTTCTGCTANGGAGCCAAAGCAACCGACGACACGAGCTCTTTTCTTTCGACTGCAACCGAGTATGTCGTATATATATTAAACTGATTTTTGCTCCCGCTCTTTTTTCTTTTTCCCCTACTTTTAATACTTATTTTGAAATTCAGTATTATTTAAAAAAAAAATTTCTGCTATTTTTTTTAGGATAGCAGTTCAGTTATAATCCCTGATTTATTACTTTTCCCTATTATTCTTATAAATTGTAGGACAAGCTCCAGAGATTATAAATAAACATAAGTGGATTTCAGATTCCAAAGGATCGAAGTTTCGGTAGCTAGGTTGGTTGATGCTTATGCCACTGCTCGAATTATTTTGCTATCACAGGACCAATTCAACTTTTTGAAGATCTTTTTTTTTAATGCAGTTCATCGTTTTAGTTAAATTTCTAACATTTGTGTTCTATTTTTATTTATAAGTAATGTAGCCAAAATTTTTTTTTTTTTTGCAACGTTGAAATAAAAAAATTTTGTGTACTAAATCTTCTCAATAGTTAAGTAAGATAATACTTCTTGTTGGCAAGACCATTTCGCAATTTCATAATAATAAAATAAGTTTCTTAAGATGTAAGCATAATTCATTCATTTTAAAACTCACAAGAAATTACAAACATCTAATTTATTAAGAGCAAAAAAAACTGAAGGCATAAGAAAACTTATACTAAACTGCCTAAACATTTTAATTTGCATCTTATGTTGTAACATGTAAAAAATTACATCAGCGCCAATCTACTGCAATTGCTGCAGGTTAAAATTTTGATCAGTAAGAACATGCAAGTAAAAAATGAGAGACCAAATCCGAAGGCACAAGGAAACTTATTTTTATTATAATAGCATCCAATATGATTATAAACAGCAAAATTTTTACGTTCCTTACAATTTATACCTCGTGGTAACCACTACTTGTTATTTCATTAATTAATTTATAGTAAGTGTGTGTGTTTTTTTTAAGGAAATTATTGAGCTGTTCCGATTATTAATATTTTATACGAGTTAATTATCTATGAAAATTGTTTAAAATACGTAATAACAAAAAAACACCGCTCTTAACGCTTTTTTTATAAAGTACAAGATTTAACTATCATATAAATTTAATATTTTTTAGCGATATTTTTTTGTTGTGTTTTAATGTTCTTAATCGTAAGTGGAAAAAAGTAGTCATCATTGTGATTTTTGTTTTTTTTAAACAATCTGTTAAGTGTTGTGTAACAGTATAGCTGGATCTTAAGTGAGTTTTTTGAATTTAATATTTATGTTTTTGGCAATTAAACGGCATAAATAATAATAGGCCAGAAGCAGTCCTTTTATATTCCATACATTATTTGTTAAAATATTAGTGGCATTCCGAATTCGTAAATGTAATAGCTTTCTTGACAAAGATAAACACTGTCTAACTTTTTTGAAAGATAAGGCAGTGAAAAATTAAATTTAAGTAGATACCAGAGTTTGTGAGTTTTTTGAACTTATTAATCTTTCTTTCTCCATGATCCTTATGAAAAATTTTAAATACTAAGAAAATTTCATTACTGGCTTGCNTTAAAATAATACTTCAATTCTAAGTAAGTATAAAAAGTAGGGTATACAAAAATAGAAGCATGAGCAAAAATCAGTTAAATATACATACGATGTACTCGGTTGCATTTAAAAGAGAAAAACTCGTGTCGTCGCTTGCTTTGGCTGTGCGCTCAGATATATAGCTGTAGACAGCATTTCCACTCCACTCTTTTTAGACACACATTCAGTATACCGCTTTCACGTCTCTCCAAAATGTGTGCCTATATGGTCATTTCCACGCGAATTCACTCCTCTTCTCGTAGGCGCATGCTGTTCAATGCGAGTAGTGAGATACCCGCCTAGTTTGACGGCTTCTCCGATCAGTGCCAAAAAGTCGTTTCACATTGTAGCATTGGCGTTAGCAATCTGTCTACTAATTTCTGTCCTTGGTTAGTTGTTTGGGTATGTGCATAAGTTCTTCTGAGCCAAAAACTCATACATACTCAAGATGAGACTCTTTCTGTGCCCAAACGTCATAGCAAGTCTTGCTGGAATAATGAGTTAACTGAATCTTTAACACTTCTGCTGTTTAAAAACTATATTGATATAAATCATGGACGTATGCTAGCCCTTTGCACATATAGTTTAACCGATCTTGCAAGAGAGGCATAGTAAAAGTGTCTGCTTTTTATCCTTCAGAGGAAATGTATGAAATAATTATTTCTCTGCTGTCATTTGACTAACTCTAAGAGATATCTCACAATATTTTGGGACAGTACTAACCTTATTGACAAAGTGATTACATTGTAAGATGCAGAATATTACATCGATAATCTCAAAACTATGTAACTACTGCTTTTAGCTAACAATTATCTTTGTCACCTTACTGCAAAATACATAAAAATAGATGAAAAACTTTAATTGGACCAAACTATGACATATACCAATAAACCTATCGTTTTACTTACATACAACAATTATTACTTAGTGTACCTTTTTTTAAGGACATTAAAACGATCAATGAAATGATGTCTTAAAAAGTTTAATATTAGTACATTTTTTTATTTTTGTCTTAATTTAAGATATTTCAATAATCTTGGTAGGGACCATTTAAACCAACTCAATAAATGCAATGCTATTTAGTGTTGTAAGACTTTGTGCAACAGTTGTTAATAAAGTTAGAATAGTGGGACAATAAGACTTTGAACTAACAAACATAGTTAAATATCAAAAAATGTTAAAATTAACCTCTTAATTAGTGGCTAATGTTAAAAATAAAAGAAAAACAATCAGTGCTTCTTTAATTCGATGCACAAATAGGCCACAAATTTAATTTTTTTGCGAATGCAAGTTACTATATTTCAATGTGTAGGTGATAACCGTAATCACTTGCTTACAAAGCAGTTTAAACTTATATTATTGAAACAGCGAAGAGAATAGTATATACACGCAACCTGAAAATCGTTTTTTGAAAACTTATAAGCTGTTGTATAGACACGAACTTACGCTTATGTTTTTAGTCTTACTTGTATTTTTATATCCACTATCGTATATTGACAAATACTTACACAAATCAATTCATTTGAGTCATTTCATCCAGAGTTATGCATTAGGATGCTTAGTCTTACTTTAATATTCGGTTACATGTACACATTAGTTTTTTAGCATAGATTACATGGTTAACTTTTTAGGTATTTATAACGATTTTCATAGTTTATTTATGATTTTATGGAAGCTTGCATGTGTTTTCGCTTTTATGAATTATATTTATGATTCTTAAGATTCACAACAAATTCAGGTGGCCTGTAACCAAAATGTTCTTGTATTAAAAGTATAATGTCAGTTATTAATTTTATTGATTTATTATTATTATTAGACAGTGTAATAAAAAAGGATTTATTCAGACTGCAGAAACGTTGTGCACAAAAAAAACAAAAAAAAACAAAAAAAAAAAAAACAATTTAGTAATTGACTGACTAATTCTTTCACAAGGTATTGGTTGAGTGTTCTTTTATATTTCTGTTATGATTGTTGTTCTCTGATTTTATTTGACATATTACTTACGATTCGAAGATAACGTGATAAAATGAGCATCCTTACTTTTTTGGTTTTTGTAATAGTGATTCTAGTCATACTAAAAAATAATGATTTAAATTTTTTGCAAGGGTGTAGTTTCAGAGTTCCCTCTTTTTCCTTTTTTCCTATTCGAATATACTATGATCTAAGTTACATTAAACACACGCGTGTATCAGTATTTAAGTTGGTTCTCCAGTTTCTGTTTAGGCCTAAGGTATCCTAGATTTATAGAGATAGATAGTTTACTTATTTTGAATAACAAATCTGCAAAAAAAGCTTTTTTTGCCCTTACGTAGCTAGGATAACTTTGAATTTCTATTATGTGGAACATAGTTGTAGGAATATTACTGTTTGCATTATTCTAGAAAAATTTGTTACAAATCTTAGTCACTTCATGCTGCAATGAGATAATGCTTAAAACATTTATAAGTAAGCTTTTTTTTTGTTTGAATGTATTCTTTTCAAATTCATAAAATTATGTTTATTATTATAGGTTAATCTTACACCGGAATCGTCTCCAGAGTTTACAAAAAAATCTTGGTTCGGAAATCTAATGATGACTGAGAAGGATGAAACATTCACTATTTTGACGAAAGGAAAGCAGCTATCAACATTGAAAGCTGATTTAATTCATGTTTTTTTATCGGTATGATGAAATTATTCTTTTTTACATATAATAATCAATAAACTCTACTTTGTTTTGAAATTCATACGTTAGCTCATAAAAGGCTTATTTTAGTGTCATAAAGTTTGCCATGTTAATAGATTTATTGTCACGTGACTAAAACGTTAAAATATTTAATAAAATGTTTATTAGGTATAATCGAAAGTTTCTTTACTGTGTCTAATGATAATTTAAAAAAAAAATTATAGAAAAATTTGATTTCATCAAAATGAGACGTAATAATTAGATGAACCTTACAATAATTATAGTACGTTGCATAACTTCTTAAAGTTTCACTTTACGGGTTATGTTCTACACTACAGATTAAACAAATAAGTCCAGAATTTTGACCTTAAAGAAATATGTAACAGAAGTGCATTGTTCATTTTACTTCCCACATCAGGACTCACCTCACCCCACTACGTGGAGCTGTGCTGTCAAACGAAAAAAAAAATACTTATCTTAAGAATAGAGCTTGCAACCTTCGGCATGCAAGCCAAGTATTATACCCACTCAGCAACAAGCTATCCCAAAATAACAAAAACTGTTCCTTTTTCTATATTGTCGTTTGTTACTTATCATCAATTCAACTGTTATTTACTGTCTGTTAACCCTATTGGTCAAATTATTAACCTTATTACTTAATAAATAACGAGTGTAATATAGTTTGCGGAACATAAGAAAAATTTTTTTTTTGTAACAGATTTTTTGCATACCTATAAAAGCTTATTGAATTTCTGTACTTAACATTTAGTTTTCATTATTTTTTATAAAAAGTTTATTTGTACAAAATTATATCGATCAATGTCACATCTTTGTTGCGTCTTATTTTAAGATTAAGCGAAACTACAGAAGAATTTTTCTACCTTTTTTAGACATATATGAGTTTTGTATACGTTACTAAGTAAATTGTGTGAGAACGTGTATGGCTGATGATGGCGTAAAGTTATAGATAGTATCATCGTAGGCAGTGGAAAATTTTTTTTAATAGTTTTAAGATTTGGTGAAGAAAGTCAGTACTGTTTAGGCCAGCTTAGCAGCAAGTTGTACTATGGCCTTACCTTAAACTGTTTTTCCTATATAAAATATTACTTATACTTGTTTATTTATTTTATACTAAAACATGTATTCGACGAACGTAATTATTGAATTTTTCTTATTCAAACTGTAACTCTACCACTTTTAATTAATTTATCACATTGGATTATTAGAAATTTTAATTTTCATAAAATATTTCTTAGATAAGTGTAACTTAATACGTGGGTTCGTAGGCATTTACTTACACCCCAGCGGAAATTTGAAAACGTAACAAAATGTTAGAAAAAGTAAACATGTGTTATAATATGCCATAACCCGCAAGAAAATGTAAGAGAATGTAAAGAACTGTATTAGTCTCATGGATTTTAGACGTTTCTTACACTTTATTATGTTGTGTTACGTTTTCTTACATTTTCTTACGTTTTAATATGATTTACCACATGCTGTTACACTTATGCTTTTTCATAATAGTTACTTAAGTTTTTTTATTTAAAGCAAGTTTTATTCGAAAATGTAAGGAAATATGTCTAAAAGCTATCAATGATAATAAAATATAAAAAAGTGTAATAAACTGCAAAAAACTGTAAGCTGTTATAAAACACTACAGATGACAACACTTCCTTACAGTTTATTAGAGTTTACTACAGCTGCTTTTTCACGAGATTCAAGTGTCTTTTTGGAATTATAATAAAATGTAACGACTCGTAAGACAATGTGTTGGGTTGTAGTTGACTATAATTAAACGTAAAAAAACGTAACAAACTGTAACTGTGGTCCGAAATCCAACCAAACTGTACATTACATCACAGAAAGTTACGGTTTGCTACGTTTTTTCACACTTACTTTTTCTGTTGGGGCAGCTAGCTTTTTACTAAAGATATTTTTGAATTATCGACACCTAATCATTAAGATGACAATATTTTACTTAAACTGAAAGATGTCATTAAAAAAATTGTGTAATAAGGGTCAGCATAAATATTTGTGACAGAAAGATTGAGAGTCTTCGTATATGTTTTAAAAAACTAATAAATTAACCTACTTATTTTTTCCTTTTGTACAGTGGTGCGCTTACAGTAATGAATTTAAGTAAACAAATATTTACAATAAAGCGGATCATGTACAGAGCGTTTTCGGTAAATAATTATGTTGTACCTTGCTGATGAAAATTGTAGGACAAAGCAATACATGGAACCTTTTACCTAACTTAGTTAATTCTCACCTTGACACATGTTAAGATCGTTGGAAGCAACAACATTTTTTCTCAATACTATCATTTATAGTTAGATTATTGCAAAAGGGTATTATATCTTTCACATGACTCTTCTCGGTGATGTGATTAAATAACTTTTAAAGAATCAAACACATTTTTCATTGCATCTGTGTAACAACAGTACTGATGGTATTTTTCGAAATATTGTTATTCATGCCAGAATAAATTTAACCTTATAACTTGCAAAACGCACATTTAGTTAGACAAAGTTTGTCATGTATTCTCTACATTTATGTTTTAATTTTTAGAGCAATAATTAAACGTCTCAAGTTTACGTGTAAACATTTTCATGAACATTAACACAATACGTTTGGAAAGCTACTTTTGCTTAAGATGAATATACAACTGTGCTAGTTAATTGCGCAAAGTATTTCCTCTAACATTTTTTGTTTAATTTCCTACCACAATAATTTGAGCGTGTTCTTAAGAAATAACTCAACAATTTAGTATAAAGAAGAATTTCAATTTTAAGAATTTATAACAGACTTGCTTTAATTAAATACATTTGTTGCAAGTTTTTATGTAAGAAATGTTTTTGCATGAATGATAATGTTTGAAATAAGAATATAACAATTTTAAGATAACCACTTCGTAATATAAAGTTTATTTTAATTAGTAAAGAAAAAAGATAACTCACAACAATGTTACATTTTGGACTAAATAGCTTTAAACGTCAGAGTAAAATAAATAATATAGTAAATAATTTATCACAAAGTTATTTTTCTCTTTTTAGCCCTAAATGCTTAGACCTTACAGTAGCTTCTTTACCCAAAAGTTATTAAAAATGCCTTTGGCATCATGTGTTTTACTATCTGTACTATTCAAAACAAAAAAAAACAATGACACTGAAACTAAAAGTTATTGAAGGAGAAAGGTAAAAACAAAAGTGCTGTTTAAAAATAATATGGTGTAACTATTTTTGGTCACATAAAGTGTAATTATCAGTAAGTGATACGTGTATCTAGTTCACGATGAAATTCTATCTGCAGCATTGCCAAATCATTAATACAAAACTTTGTTGTCGATTAACAGCATTATTGATTTTTATTGAAGTATTACTTTTGTAATGTATCATTGTAAATTATTCTGTGTCATAAACAGAACAAGTATTTTTGAGTATTTAAAAATTTTAGCAAAAATAAAAAAAAGAGTTGTGTTGTACAAAAAGAATACGAGAGAAAAAGAGACACAAAAAGCGGTGTGGCATGAGACTTTCAAATTCACATTAGGGTTCTGCGTGCCAGAGACTTCTTGGTGATTCTTTGACAAAGTTAATTCTCTCCAGTCTATCAAATTACTACTACCTTTTAGCGACGTCACTAGGATACCATGTTACTATCTAAGTGGCACTGTGAGAAAATCCGCGTTTAAGAAGGATCTGAGGGTACAAGTTGACGTATTAAGGGGACACGTGTGACAATGTACAAGTATGCGTGATGGATAGCTCGTCTTAAAGTGGATTATCTCAAAAAAGTTTCAGCATTTATGTATATAATTTAATACAAACACTGGAAAAGACAGATAGTTGATAAAAGGAATCAAGATCTTTCACGTGTTGTAATAGCATATTGCATTGTTAAATAACTTTAAAAATAAATATAAGAAACCATATGATATAAAAATGCATTATTAGTAACATAGTAAACAAACCAGACTATGCTTTTCTATTGTTCCGTTTTCAATAATTACTAAGGAATATTTTCAATTTTCTGACTGTAAACATAAGATAAAGGCTGTGATGAAATGACTTAAATTATATAATTAAACAATGTTACAAAGGTATTGGAGGAAACAATGAAACTATCGTTGCATTATCGAAAATTGAGCAAAACTTATCGGATTTATTTGTTAGAAATAGCTAATAGCTTAGAGAAGGTCAATTATAGGACTAAAAAAAAGCTACAGAGAAACATAAGTAATCGATTTTTTTAGTAATTTATGAATATTTTTAGTAAGTTTAATGTGAAACTTATTGGAAAACAGTTATTCGCAAGCTATATGTTGCTTTCATACATTATTTTATCTACTTCTACCCAATCGATCCATTAAATATAAAAAAATTGTTTTTCTTACATGTTTTAAAATTTATTTATATTTTAAGCTAGGCTTTTCTGTAATTATTTATTTTAACATGAAACTCAGTGTTTCTTTCAGGTAGGACTTTTTTTCACTTGACACTCAACTATTACTACCATGAAACTAAAATCCAAGTAATCTAAGTAACCTAAAAAAGTTAATTCCCTTTGTAATTTATAAATAAGCAAGTTATAAACGTAAATAGCTTGCTTACATTTCAAAAGTTTAACTTTATAGTCACTAGGACTACCAACTAAGTAAGCTTGCCAGATTTTATTATATTTAATTCTCCAACATCTATAACTTCTTACAAACGTCGCAAAACGTCACAAAATAATTCACTTCGTTTTACCTACATTTGTTAAATATAATACAGAAGATATTTTGGGCAACTAATCATGATTATGTAACTCAACAAGTACTTGTGCTGTTTTTTATAAGACATAAATATTTAATTTACAGCATGCAAGGCTATGTAAATGACATAGTAATAATAATATTCACTGCCTCACAATTAAGTGGTTATCTTTTTTAGTAACCTAGAGATATCATAAGACTACACTATTAAATTTTCTAAAATACTAGAGCTTAGTGGAAT